ACCCAATGAAGGCGCGAGATCTGGGGAGATCTAGGGGAGATCTGGGGAGATCTGGGGAGATCTGGACAGGCTAGCCTACGACGAGGCGCGAGATCTGGGGGAGATCTAGGCGAGATCTGGGGAGATCTGGGGAGATCGACCCTATGAAGGCGCGTGCGCGCGCGGAGAGCCGCGCCACGTGAACCCCCGGCCCCCTTCAAACACGCCTCGGTCGGTCTGACTGAAGAGACAGAGAGGGGAGGACACAGGAGAGGAGAGGAGAAGAGAGAGGAGTGGCGAGGAGACGAGAGGAGACGAGACGAGACGAGACGAGAGGGGAGGAGACGAGAGGAGAGGAGAGGAGAGGAGAGTCAGGCCACGACTCCCACCTCCGCCTCTAACCGGCCGCCGCCGCCCGCGCGGCACCCGCGGCACCTCCCGCCCCCCCTAGCGCTGCTGGCCGCTACCCCGCCGGCGTCGCTACCCTCGCCACCGCTGCCGCAGCGCCTCCGCACCGCCTCCGCCGCCCCCCTCGCCGCTTCGCCCGTGATGCTCCGTGCGCCCTCTTAGGCGGCGCGTGTCGATGCCTCAATCTCCGTCCTGGTCGACCTGACCGGCGCCAACGAGCGCATCTTCAAGTCTCCGATCCCGCTCCTCTACACGCGGCTGCTGTCGCGCTTCCTCACCGCGTTCCTGCTGCTGCTACCGCTCGCGCTCTGGCAGGCGAGCGGCGAGAGTCAGACAGTGAGACAGCACCAGCTTCCAACGCCCTCCTTCGCTAGCCCCCTCCCCCTCTCACTGGCCACCTCTGTACACACACTCGAGGTTGCCTTCTCTTACGGAGGAGAGAGCTGGACTCTGCGCGTTGCCTCTACACATTGCGAGCGTCGCCGAGACCTGGCCGAGATCTGGCCGAGGTGTCGTCCCGTCACGTCCTGCTGAACACGCGCCGAGATTGAGCCGAGATGAGGCACTGCTCCGGGCAGCGAGCGCACCCTCCCCCCGAGGCTCCCCCGAGTCTCCCCCGAGGCTCCCCCCGAGTCTCTCCCCGACTCTCAATCGGACGCCCTCTCTGAGCTCCTCTCCGTTCCGCTCCCGCAGGCGCTATCTCCCCCATCTCTCCCCACATCTCCCCATCTCTCCCCACATCTCCCCACATCTCCCCACATCTCCCGCCAGGCGCTCGGCGAGTCGTGGAACCACTGGGCGGTCATCCCTGCCGAGCTCTTCATCTCCTTCTTCCTGTTTGGCATCGAGGAGGTCGGCATCCAAATCGAGGCGCATTCCCCGCCGCTGCCGCTCGACGCGCGTCCTGCTTCGTTGTTGACTCGCGCGGAGTGGAGTGTCTCTAGGAGCCCTTCTCGGTGCTGCCCCTCGAGGCGTTTTGCAACGGCGCCATCGCCGCGACGTCGCAGGAGCTGCGTTCCCGGTCGGGTGACACGGAGTCGGAGTGACTGTCTTGACGAGGGTCTGTCCTGTCCGCAGGAGATGCTCAACGCTGTCGAGTCCAAGGCCTTTGGAGGACGCGCCGAGGGGGGGAGGAAGGGGCGACCGTGTCTGAAGGGACCCCACTCGCTACTTAGGTCTTTGAGGAGGAGCCGAGGTGAAGCGGATCGCGAGCGCCACGCCTGCTGGAGAAAGAAATTGCTATCGACAAAGCGGGCGCGGCGACGCAGGTAGAGCTGTAGGTTACGAGGGCCGCACCGCCGCTAGCACCGCCAACGCTCGAGTTCGCCCGGCGAGCCGAGAGATCGGCGATGCCGCGCGCTCGCGACTGGCGGTGGGGCTGGCGCTTCGGGGGCGGGCGCGGGAGGCAAGGCCGAAGGGAGGCGCCGCCAGTGTAGGGCGTGTCTCGCGAAGTTGGGGAAGTTTGCTTGGGGGGGGGTTGCATGTCCCGTCCTGGATGTCTTGCATGTGATGAGCGCTCCACTCTCTTAGTGAGAACGGGGAGAAAGATTCAAAAAAATCTCGAGAACACAGAAAAACGAGCGCCCGCGTCGGCCTGGGTATAGTGCGCTAGTCAGGGGAAATGGTCCACTAAAACATTCATTTTCCAAGCCCCAAACCCAGGGGTCCGTCTTTGGGCGGATGGCGCGCTTAGCCTCCCGCACCTATCGCGCCGAGGAATTGTGGAGGCATCTCATGTTCATGTTACGCTGAATGTAATGTTGAGTAGACCGCTGCGCTGCCCAGGGATGGCAGTAGGTGAGATCTCCCCCTGTTTGCATTGGTCGGAAGAGCAGGCGCACTTCACCCAGTTATAGAGGACAGTTGCCACGTTGGCATATCTGGCTGCCCTGGTCATAATACTGCCAGCGGACCTCCTGCGAACATCCATGGTATGGGTCGCACTGTGCGTTGCAGCCCGAAACAACGCCTTGGCAGCTGTCAGCATCATATACTGCATAATTCCGTACCCCTGTCTTGCCAAGCGCCGTTGCCGCAGTCATGCACGCGTCTTGGCTTGGGATCGGTTCCCATCCGGCGTTGCAACAAGCGCCGTCGCACGAACATGACGATATACCCCACGGTCCGATATTGTACTCGCACGACTTCCAGTACGAATTCCACTCGCCGTGCGTCGTGGCCGAAGTGCACGGCGTCGTGATCAGGAAACAATCCTTGTGATTGGGACTCCAATCAAACGCCGTGCAGGATGTCTCCGAGTCGCACGCATCTTGGCATGCCTGACGCGAGATCGAGCACGGCGCCGACCGATAGGAGTTCCACTCCGGATGGGGCGTTATTACATTGCACGTGTGGCCGTTGACGATGAGCAAGCAGTCGCCGTGGGATGGGCTCCAGTCGTACGCGTTGCAATCCTCAGCCTGTTCGCATGCCTGCTGGCACGTCGATTGAGAAACACTCTGGTAGTTCGCCCACGGTCGTCGCGTGTTGCTGCCTGTCCGCCCTGCGCAGTAGCCGCTTGCAGCCGGGTCCCACCAGGGCGCGGGTACTGCCTGGTATCCGCAGCTGGGTGGGCGTCTCAGGACGCCGTCCGAGCCACGCTGCGCGCAATATGCGCCGTAGTGCGGTTGGTAGCCTGAGTCCGCAGAAAGGCCGCAGGAGTACATCATGCGCCGCGCGAGCCGCCGCCGCTCGGTCACGTCGAGGCGACGGGTTTCGTTCACCGCCGCTGTCTCGGATGCCCACATGTCAAGGGCCTCCTCTTCGTAGAGCTGCAGGTCATCGTTGCTGACCGTCACCGACGAGCACGATGCGTCGGCCTCGCAGACCACGTACTCGGTGCCGTTAGGTGCGGAAGCATCTTGCAGCCCGGCTCCACGACGTCCGACCGCAGCCGCAGCCGCAGCCGCAGCAGCGGGCGCAGCCGCAGCAGCGGGCGCAGCCGCAGCCGCAGCAGCCACGGCCGCCGCCACCGCAGCCGCAGCCGCAGCCGCAGCAGCGGGCGCAGCCGCAGCAGCGGGCGCAGCCGCAGCCGCAGCAGCCACGGCCGCCGCCACCGCAGCCGAAGGGTGCAAAGCGCCCGGGTACTGCGCATGTTGCGCAGCCAGGCAAGACGCAAAAGACCACCCGGCCGCTGTGCTACTACGAGCCGGACGGCGAGCGGGCGGACCAAGGGCCTTGCCGCAAGTGCCGTCTCAAAGACCCGCAGCACTTCAAGCGCTTTGCTCACCCCGAGCGGAGCAAGAGCGACGGCAAGACCTGCTCGTGCTCGCGCTGCCAATCGGCCGCGGAGGCGGCGCGCGTCGAGAGCGAGCGCAAGCGGCTTGCGGCCGAGGCTGCGGCCGCGGAGGCGGCGCGCGTCGAGAGCAAGCGGCTTGCGGCCGAGGCTGCGGCCGCGGAGGCGGCGCGCGTCGAGAGCAAGCGGCTTGCGGCCGAGGCTGCGGCCGCGGAGGCGGCGCGCGTCGAGAGCGAGCGGCTTGTGGCCGAGGCTGCCGCCGCTGAGGCGCCGCGCGCCAACGTCAGCAACTACACCGCCACGGAGGGACTGCAGAAGCTCGAGCAGGCGGAGATGGCGGTGACGGCGCAAAAGGCAAGGCACGGCGGCGACGAGGCCGCTGGGGCAGAGGCGCTTTACCAGCAGTCCAAGCTCAAGGTGGACGAGAAGCTTAAACGGTTTAAGGAGAGGGAGCACATCGAGGTGGCGCCCGTCTACCTAGGCGACATCCACCTCCCGGAGTACGCCAACCTGAAGCAGACGATCACGACCGTCAAGATGCAGGAAATGATCGAGAAGGAGTTCTACACCATGTTGGAGCGCACCTACAAACACCACCCTCTCAAGGAGTACTTTGAGCCGCGCAGCGACGGCAAGCAGGGCTACCAGCCAAAGACGGTCTCGCAGGGCCTTGCCGGAAACCGAAAGGAGAGGATGTTTGACATCGACCACGTGGTGCCGGACAACTGGGGCGGCATCAACCACCCGCGCAACATGGTGGTCATGCACCGGTCGATGAACCGATCCTTCCAAGACGCCCTTCCGGAGACGAAGTGGTACTACCTTTCGCAATCGCATCGCAAGTCAGGCGTGTTGCGGCGCGTTGCTCTCTTTGTCAAGGAGGTGCTCGGCAGCAAGGCGGTGAAGAAGGCGATCGAGAGCGCGATTCAGGAGCTGAAGGATCTCTAGCTCTCGCGCGAGTGTGGAGGTGTGGGGCCCGCGGCGCGCACACCGCGACGGAGTGTCGACGTTTCTTAGAGTCTGGTGATTAGTCTTGCTCCGGCAGCTCGTGGTGCTCGTGGGCGCGAGAATACTGGTCCGTCCCCGACCCACCGTTTGAGCATCGTTTTTGGTGTGTACGTGTAGCTTCGTTGCGCGCGCTGCCGAGCATGAGGCGGATTGTGACGCGAGCGGGATTTTGCGCGGTGCACCTGTCCTCCGCTCGCCCTCTCCCGTCCGAGGTAGTCCGAGGTGCCCTCTGGTGAGGGAATTCCCCCCCTCCCCCCAAACACACACCTCCCAAGTCGACACTGCTACCTCTCTGACGTCCTCCTCCCCGCCGGCGGCGCCGCGGACGTCTCGCAGCCGCCCTCTCGCCGGCGGCCGCGCCACGCGCCCCCGCCTCCCGCGCCTGCCCCTCCTCCGCCGCCGCCCGCCGGCGGCTGCGCGGCGCCGCCCCTGCCGGGCCTCCGCCGCGCGGCGAGCCGTTCTCGCCAGCGGCCGCTGCGTGGGTCGGGCAGCGGCGGGACCGCCTCAAAGCCGCCGGCCAAAGGCAGCCGCAGCCTGCGTTCGACTCGTGTGGCGTCTACGGCGGCCCAGACGAGCGAGGCGGCGATCAGCGCGAGGCTTGGCGCCGGCAGCACCGCGTCGCCCTCAAAGAGAATGTACAGGTAGACGGCCGCATCGGCGCAAAAGCAAACGTAGCCCGCGTAAAAGAGGTGGAGGTTGATCATGGACTGGCGCCGCAGGACGAGGACGGCGCGTGTCATCGAGCCCTCGGGGCCGCGCAGCCCAAGGCCGGGAGCCAGCACGCAGAGCATCGTGGTCCGCACCACGACGAGGAGCTGCAGGATGGTTGCGGCCGCGGTGAGCGCCATGTAGGCGTGCAGGAGGACAACGTGGCCGGCCCCGAGCTCGGAGGTGGGGACAGCAATCTCGGCGTACTCGCTGCTGGCCTTCTCGGCTAGCGAGTTCTGCGGCAGGTAGCGGCCGTAGAAGGCGCCAAAGATGAAAATTGCGAGCATCGCGCTAATCAGCCCCAGCCGCTGGTTATTGTGAATGTGCAGGGCGAGCTCCTTGTCCTCAATCGTGACGAGGGCACGGCGCAGCGACTGCTGCAGGTCGAGCTTCCGCGCGAGGATCATGGAGAGCGGCCGCACAGGCGGCGGCGCGTCGCTGCGGCGCCGGTCACTGCTGCCGTCGCGCGGCGGCGCCAGCCACCAGTGTTAAGTACGGCCGGCGGGCTCGGACGGGCAGCCAACTTGTTTCTTGAGGGAGGCTGTCCGCACCTGTGTCAGCCTGTAGTCTGCTGTCCCGATGCCGATCATCTGGCCCGCTGGGTGCGCTTCTTAGCTCTCCGGCCCTGGATGTGAGGTTACTGACTGCACTCCAAAGTGCTCCGAGATGCGCGATCTCGGGCCGCGCCGCGCAATCTCGGGCGATCTCGCGCTATCTCGGGCGATCTCGGGGCCGCGCCGCGCTATCTCGGGCGATCTCGGAGCGTCAGCGTCGCTCGCGCGGCGGCACACCTGCTCAAAAAGGGAAGGGCCCGGTTGGAGCCACGGGGCTCACGTGCTCGCTCGGGGCGCCGCCTCACTCTGCGCCACTTTTCTTACCCCTATGGGGTCACAGCCCCGCCGACACTTATCTTTGTGCTTCAAATTTTTGGGGGGGGTCACAGCGCACGCGCCAGGGACTGGCCGCCAAAAGGCGAGTCGCTCCCGAGTTTTCTTTTCCTCGCCATTTTCTCCCGCGTCAGCCCCGGCGCCGCTCGCCTCGCTGCCGCCGCCACCGCCGCCGCACACTGCCCCCTCACCGACCTGCCCCTTGAGCTTCTCCTGCGCGTCATCACCTGCTGCGACCCCGCCGACATCGCTCGCGTCGCGGCCGTCTCGCTGCTCTTCCACGCCTCGCTTGCGCGAGAGGCCATCCGCTTGTGGGCGCAAGAGCGCGGCTTCGAGCTGCCGGCGCTGCCCGAGGGCGAGAACTGCGCCGTGCGGTGGCTGTGCCATTCGGCGCTGCTGCGCGAGTCCAACCCGCCGGTGAGGGCGGCGGCAGGCCAGTACCACAGCCTCTTCGTCAACGGCGAGGGGCGGCTCTCGTCGTGCGGCTCTGCGCCGTCCTACAGCCTAGGACTGCTCGGCCACGGCGAGGGCGTGACGCGGCTCAACACGCCGGCACGCCTCCCTTCCCCGCTGGGTGGCGAGCGCGCTGTGAGCGTGTCGGCTGGTGGAAGCGCGCACAGCCTGGCCCTCACCGCCGGCGGCAGCGTCCTGAGCTGGGGCAGTGGTCTCTACGGCCGGTTGGGCCACGGCGACGAGCAGAACCAGCTGCAGCCGAAGAAGGTCGAGGCTTTCACGAGCCGGGCCGTCCTCGCTGTGTCGGCTGGAGAGTACCACAACCTCGCCCTCACCGCCGACGGCGCTGTCTGGAGCTGGGGCAGTGGAGCCGGTGGCGAGCTGGGCCACGGCGACACGCAGGACCAGCTGCTGCCAAAGAAGATCGAAGCCTTGGCGTGGAAGCGCGTCGTCGCTGTCTCGGCGGGATTCGCGCACAACCTCGCCATCACCGCCGACGGCGCCCTCTGGAGCTGGGGCGGGGGAGGCTTTGGCCGGCCTGGCCACGGCGACCAGCAGCGCCAGCTGCTGCCGAAGAAGGTCGAGGCCTTGACTGGCCAGCGTGTCGTCGCTGTGTCGGCTGGAGCTGGCCACAGCCTCGCCCTCACCGCCGACGGCAGTGTCTGGAGCTGGGGCTCTAGTGGGTACGGCCAGCTGGGCCACGGCGACCAGCAGGACCAACTGCTGCCCAAGAAGGTCGAGGCCTTGGCTGGCCAGCGCGTCGCCGCTGCGTCGGCCGGAGGCAACCACAACCTCGCCCTCGCCGCCGACGGCAGTGTCTGGAGCTGGGGCGGAGGAGACGATGGCAAGTTGGGCCACGGCGACGAGCAGCAGCAGCTGCTGCCGAAGAAGATCGAGGCCTTCACTGGGCAGCGCGTCGTCGCTGTGTCGACGGGACCATACCACAGCCTCGCCATTACCGCCGACGGAGCTGTCTTCACGTGGGGCAAGGGCGAAGCCGGCTGCCTAGGCCACGGAGAGGACCTGCCGAACCAGCTGCTGCCCAAGAAGATCGAGGCGTGGGCGCCGGGGCAGTGAGGTGGGGGCTGTCTGTCATCCGATATTCTTACGCTAGGGGGGGGGGGGGGGGTCCTGACACCATCGTGTGCATACAGATTGGGGGATGGGGGAATGGGGGGAAAGTGTGGGCCGGGGGGGCGCGGGTGCGGGTGCTGGATGCGGTGCGGTGCGTGCAATCCTGTGTTTGGCGTCATGTTGTGTGTGCCTTCGCTTGTTAATATTAAGGTAGGTAGGTAGAAAGGTGAAGAACAGCCAGGCTCGGACTGGACACCAACGCGGTATGGGTGGACGCTGGACAGATGATGACGACACGCACGAGCGACACACAGACACAAACAGGCTCACAAGACACACAGCCATCTGGCTGCCACACACCCTGAGTCGGCGTACACATAACTCAGGGCCACATCCTCCCTGTCGCCCCCCCCAGCACTCCACGGTGCCAAGGGCACAAACAAGGGCTAACATCGAAGTCTAGCTCAAAAAGAAACGCGGTCGGGATTTGCGCACACCCTTGCGAGCGAACCCAGCGAGAAGCGGCGAGAGACTGCGAAGAGAGATAGGAAGAGGCAGACTCCCTAGGGTGGGCGACGGCTAGCGCATCACACACCTCTCCTTAAAATCCCTGTGTGGTGGCGGCGTGCCGTCCTCCCATCCCTCCCTTGGCTTGCGTGTTTTCTTTCTTTCTTTTTGCGAGCGAACCCATCGCGCGATGGCCTCCCACCGCATCGGCGCCCGCCTGTCTGGCCTCTCGCCAGAGCAGCTCGTCGCCTTCATCGACGAGCAAGCGCCTCTCTGGAGCGCCGCCGCAATGCGCGTGGCGGAGGAGCACGCCGCACGGCTCGTGGAGCAGCCCGAGTGGATCCTCTCCGAGGTCCTCCTCTCGCCGGACCTCGCCCCGCACATCCTCGCCCAGCTGCCGACCGAGGCGCACGCCGTCAAGGGGACGTGCCGCGCGTGGCGCCGCGGCTGGAAGGAGACGCTGAAGAAGCGCGAGAGGGCGCGCCTGGTTGTGATCGGCGGCGAAGACGGAGAGGGCGACCTTGTCAGCTCGCTGGAGCGGTACGACCCGTCAACGAACGAGTGGGAGGAGGAGGCTGGGGCGCCGATGCCTACGGCACGAACGGGTGTCCGCACGGCGGTGCTTGACGGCAAGCTCTACGCGGCGGGCGGCCAGGATGAAGACGACGGCGCAACTTCCAACTCGCTGGAGCGGTACGACCTTGCTGCGAAATCGTGGGAGGAGGTGGCGCCGATGGCGACGGCGCGGCAGGCTCACAGCATGGCGGTGCTCGACGGCAAGTTGTACGCTGTGGGCGGGTACAGAGTTGGCAGCGGCCTCAGCTCGGTCGAGCGGTACGACCCGGCGGAGAACGCGTGGGAGGCGGTGGCGCCGATGGCTGAGGCGCGAGTTGCTCACGCCGTGGCGGTGCTCGACGGCAAGCTGTACGCTGTGGGCGGGCACAACAACGGCTTCCTCAGCTCAGTCGAGCGGTACGACCCGGCGTTGGATGCGTGGGAGGTGGTGGCGCCGCTGGCGGAGGCGGGGAACCTTCACGCCGTGGCGGTGCTCGACGGCAAGCTTTATGCTGTTGGCGGGTACAACTACGACGGCGGCGCCCTCAGCTCGGTCGAGCGGTACGACCCGGCGTTGAACGCGTGGGAGGCGGTGGCGCCGCTGACGCTGGCTCGCCTCGGTGCCGGGGTGGCGGCGCTAGAAGGCAAGTTGTACGCTGTGGGCGGCACGGTCGAGGAGGAGGACGACGAGGCTGAGGGCGAAAGGCCGGCTCACTCGGTGGAGCGGTACGACCCGGCCTCGAACACATGGGAGGAGGTGGCGCCGATGGCGACGGCGCGGTCCTTTCCTTCCGCGCTCCTGATGTAGAGAGAGAGGGGGGGCATCGAGGATAGGTGAAGAACAGTGTGAGAAAGAAGTGTGCGTGTGATCCCGTGGTTCGACCCTATCCAGTGCTCAAGTGCTCAAGTTGGTAACCTCACACCCGGCGTCGCCAAAAAGAAACGTGCTAGAGAGTACCTCGCCCCCCCAAAAGCGAGATCCTCTACTGGCCCGCGCCCTGCTCTCTCCCAACACAAACATGCACATGTGTGCATGGCTTCCCTTCGGGCCCGCGTCGCGGGCCTCTCGGAGAGGCTCAGGGCTCTCGCCAGCGCAGCTGTGCGCCATCATCGAGGCGCAGGCGGGCGCGAGCGACGCCGCGCTGCGCGTGGCGGAGGAGCACGCCGCTCGGCTCTCTCGAGGTTCTCGAGGTGGATATCCTTTGGCCGCGTTGGGTAGCGAGGCGATTGGTGTGACGCGATCCACGCAGGCGTGTTTTCTGGCGGCCGACCGTCAGTGCACGGAGTTGCCCCTTCTCCGACTGCCCCGGCTAGTTCCCGAGTTTCGCGGGAGTGACCGCTCAGCTCGTGGTACGTGGAGCAGCCCGAGTGGGTGCTCTCCGAGGTCCTCACTCTCGCCGGACCTCGCCCCGCAGCCCGCACATCCTCGCCCAGCTGCCGACCGAGGCGCACGCCGTCAAGGGGACGTGCCGCGCGTGGCGCCGCGGCTGGAAGGAGACGCTGAAAAAGCGCGAGAGGGCGCGCCTGGTTGTGATCGGCGGCGAAGACGGAGAGGGCGACCTTGTCAGCTCGCTGGAGCGGTACGACCCGTCAACGAACGAGTCCGGGTGCACCGGGACCCAGGCAGCTGTGAAGAGTCTGCAAGGGTCCGTGCCAAAATGGCCAAAATCGAGCCTGGTTTGGCCGACTCTGCAGTGGCCGCAGGCGGTGATGGCGGAGGCGTACCTTGTGTGGGACCTACGCGCCGGCGAGCTGGCGGGCGCGCGACTCGAGCAGGCGGTCGTGTACGGCAAGCGGCTCGAGACGCACGCGAGCGGCGTGCGGACAAGGAGTTGGGCAAGTGCAAGCGGCGGCAGGCGGGCGCGGAGGCGCTTCTCGCTGTCGTTCCAGTGCAGGACGTGCCGACGCCAGAGGAGCCCGCGGTCGAGGAGGAGCCGGCGGTCGAGGACCTGCCTGCCAGCGACTCTCGTCCCGACGACGCGTCTTTCTTTTTAGGTGTACCTGTGTTAGTGCCAGTGCGCGCCAGTCCCGTGCCCAGTGTTGTGCGAGGGAGTTTTCTGGTCAAATTCTTTGTATGCTGTGAGAGAGAGTTCGGGTCGTTGAATTCTTTTTTATCTCGTTACAGGCGCCGTGGATTGCCGACGAATTGGACGCGCCGACGCGCGAAGTCTGGCTCGCGTGCGTGCTCGCCTTCGAGCCACACGAGGCTGCCCTACGGCGCTTCGTCCAGTACATCATCGAGGGCCCGTTCATCGCGTCGGCTAGCAGCCTCGCGGCGAGTGAGCTGAGTGCGCTGCCGCAGCCGTGGGTGTGGTCGCAGCCGTACCCTTCGACCACGAAGGTCTTCCCCAAGTCGTACGGCACGTGGATGAAGAAAGATGCGGTCGCGCAGGGGTGGATCCGCGTCCTCTTCGGCGGAGCCGGCACGGTTGGGCTGCACCGCTTGGGCGCGCCGTCGCAAATCCCGTGGCACAACGCCGACGAGCAGAAGTTCGCGGACATCGTCTCCGCCGACCCGGCGAAGCAGCTCGCCGCGGCGTGGGAGCTCGCAAAGATGCTCGTCGGCTCGCTCGACAGCGACCGCGCCGTGGCCAAGGCGAAGACGGGCGCCGAGGGCTTCGCCGTCGATGGGCTGATGCTGCTGATGCGGTACTGCAAGCTGTTTGAGGACAGCGTGCCTCCGCTGCAGGCCGCTGGCGTCCTCGATGCAGGCGGCCCGCTCGACGAGGCGGGCCGGGCGCGCAACCACATCTTCCACCCCAGCGGCGCGACGGCGCCCGGCGAGTCCAACTTCCAGCTGACGCAGGCGAAGAAGGAGGAGCGCATCGGGAAGCTCGAGGCGGTGCTGGGCCTGGTGGAGAGCTGGGCGGGCCTGCCGGCGGGCTGCGGGAGCGCCATCGCCGCGGCGAAGGCGAAGATGGCGGAGATGAAGAAGCAGGACTACGCCATCGGCGACTTGCGGCATGCGTACGAGATGTACCTGCAGACCGCGGCGCAGATCACCGCGGCGCAGATTGCGGACCTCAAGGCGGAGGCGGGCAACATCAAGGACGAGGTCGCGTCGCTCGCCAACGGCGTGGCGATGCTTTGCGCCGCGCTGCCCGACGACTGGCGGGAGATTGCCGAGGGCCCGCTCCGCAAGCTCGGGCTGGACCAGCTGCCGGAGCGGCTAGACACCCTGCAGGCGCAGCTCGAGCAGGCGCTGACGGCGCGGCTGCAGGTGGTGGAGGAGAAGGTCGACCAGACGCTGGCCGTGGCAGAGCGGACGGACGCGGGGGTGGCGGCGCTCCGCGCGGCGGCGGCAGCGGAGCAGCAAAAGTCGCAGGTGCAGGATGAGCTAGCTCTCGAGAGGTCGCTCCACGAGCTCAACGCCCAGCGCTTGGAGCATGACGCCCAAGGCTCAAAGCTCAAAGCAAAGGAGCTTGAGACTCTGGCCTTGGCTGTGAAGGCCGGCCACGTGCGGCTCGAGGATCTCGGCAGCGCCAGCCCTACGGCCCGGCGGCTGAGTATGCAGCCGCAGCTTGAGGCTTTGCTCAGCATCGGCGGCGGCGGCGGCGCAGGCGCGACGCTGCCTGTGGCGAGCTCGTCCGCCGGGCCGTCCTCCTCCTCCTCGCATAGCGGCGGCAGCACGGCGTCCTCCGTCATGACCATCACTATGGAGGGGAGCTTGTCGGGACCGCCGCCCTTCGACCGCCAGCAGTTCAAGGAGAAGTTCGCCAGCAAGCTCGACATGACGCCAGAGCAGCTCAAGCTGAGGACGGTGAGCCGCGGGGGGAGGCGGCAACACGAGGTGCAGACGAGCCCGGGCTTTAGCATCTCGTTGAGGGCTACTTCCGCTACGAGTCGAGCCGCCACGATTCGACCTCCTCGGAGGACGGCAGCGATGTCTCCGACTTGTCCGCGGCCGAGACGGACATTCAGTCGGCGGTCAGGCTCGCCCTCAGGCCGCGCCGCATCGCCCTCGACGCAATCGAGGTGCTCTGGACCGAGGAGGGCTCCATCATCGTCTGCGTCAAGCTCGACCTGCCGTACGCGCTCAAGCTGATGGACCTGTACTTGCGCGGCGACTCGAGCTTGAAGGACGAGCTGCGCGTCATCGGAGTGGGCTTGGGCGGCGCCGCCGCGCAGCCGAGTGAGGAGTCGATGCGACAGTTCGACGAGCCCGTTCGCAGAGTGCTGTTCGCGCCCGACCATTTCGCCGCGTTGGGCATCGCGCGCTCTGCGACCGAGCGAGAAATCGTCAAGGCCTATCGCTCTGTGATGAGAGAGCTGCATCCGGACCGTCAGGTATCGGCGGCGCAGGCAGCAGAACAGCCATCGGACTCTGATGGCGCGGCTCTCCTCCAGCAAGCGAGGGAGGGCACCTCCCTTGCAGCGGAGGGGGCGACGCCGGCAGCGGAACAGCCATCGACTCTTGCCTGCGGCGTGGCTCCTCTGCAAGCGAGGGAGGGCACTTTCCTTGCAGCGGAGGGGGCGTCGCTCGCCGCAGCGCCCGCAGCGCCTGCAGCGCCCGCAGAGCCCACAGCGCTGTCGGGTGCGCGTGCTGCAGAGCCCGCTGCACTTGATCCAGATGCAGAGCTGCAGCGAGCTTCGGCGGCGGCGGAGGCGGCGCGAGCTGCGCTCGAGGAAGCCGTCGCCTCCTCGCATGGATTTCTTCTATCGATTGTAGACCGATTGCACCCGGCCACGTCGGGAGTCAGTGATGAAAAAAAGAATGGATGGCCACGCAATTTGAGTGACAACTATTACGAATTGCAGGGAGATTGTGAATTGCATGACATCACAATGAGAATACACCCGAACGAACTCGGGAGCCGCGTCGCGGAAATGGGCGGGAAACCCAAAAGACGCGTGGCTCGCACTCCGAACTCAGATTTCTTCTTTCAGTTGCAGACAAAGCGCGACAGGTTCTGCCCCCTCGCGCTCCATGGCCCCAGCCCCGCCGCGCGCCTCTCCGGGGCGCTCTGAGCCGCGCGCTCCGATGCGCGACACCCACACACCCTTCCCCGGCTGCCCGCAGCTCGCGGGCCCCGCACCGCTGGGCCGCACCACCCACCCACCCACCCACCCACCCACCCACCCACGATCCGTGGTCTACCCCACTTTTTCAAGAACGGGACGCGGGGTGGTATGAGAAAAAACGAGCCGCAGCGAGGTCTCGAGGGGTTGGTCTCGCGTCGGGATGGTGATGCCACGAAATCGGTTGGACCTTCCCACGTCCATGTGCTTGCGATTGATCGTCCTGCTTGCGGTATTGGCCGCCAAGGGCGGTCCTTATCCGAGGATCGACGACAACCGCAGCTGCCCCGGCGGGCCGCACAAGACCCGCTCCGCCCTTTCCGGCTGCCGCGGCGGCGGCGGCTGCGCGGACACCTGCGAGGACAACCAGTGGAGCGAGTCATCGCCCGAGGGTGGCTCCGTGTGTGCGTGGGACGAGGGCGTCGTCCTCTACGCCGGCTTGGAAGGCCCACACGGTTCCGACCGCAAGCTCCTCTGCCCGCTGTGCGCCCGCTCTGGCACCTGCGCCATCGTCCTTACGGCGGCCGCGTCTACCAGCGCCCCCATCGCAATGGAGGCGTCTATTTGGTCCCATGCCGCTGCTGGGCATGTTTGGAAGCTGATCGAGATGGGTGTCGGCGCCGGTGCCACCGTGTTGCTCGGGACATTCGCCTCGCTGAACCCAACCGCCGCTCTCGCCCGAGTGGCCTTCGCCCAGCTCGTCGGCAAAGCGGCCGCGTCTCCCACGGATCCACAACCGGCAGTCCAGCGGGGTGTTGGTGCGAAGTCCTCTCCGCTCCGGGGTGTTCGGCAGAGCTCTACGGAACCTTCTCCAAGGCAACAGTCTGAATTGCCGCAGGATCTGGCCTCGCACCTGCCCGCCTCACCGCGGCTCAGACCGCGGGGCCTGAGCAGCTCGGTGCCAGAGCCCCCGAGCCCGCCGCCGCCCTCCCCACCGACGCCGTTCTTCACCACCGTCCTCTTCGGTGATCGCCCTCCCCGATGCACAGATTGAGCATCCGCTTGCTCGCTACGATGATCGGAGCGCGCCTATCAAACCGCACAGACAGGGGGCGCCATAGGACACCCCAGCGGCACACGAGCATGCCAAAGGCACACTCGATGGGCATGCGTGTGCTGCACTGCACATTGCCGTACGCGTCGCCTCCCCCCGGGATAACCTTGGTTGCGCGCCCGTGTAAACCC